CGATCCTCATCTCAATCTACCTACGAGACAAGCAATCTAGAACATTTACTTTATTACCAAAACATTTGATGTGCATATATGTAACAAGCTACATTGGTACACTAGTACATAACCTTAAAAAATAAAACTGGTTATAACTTTGACGTCCCAAGTTTAAAAATTCTAAAAATTTAAATTGGGCCTGTCTATCCTATTATAAGCCCATATAAGCCTGCCGTTCTCCTTTAAATACAAAATGTACAGTTGGTTGGGATACAATCTCTAATAACTTTCTTAAAACATTTCGGCATATCCTAATCCAACCATTGACTTATATCTTTAATGTATGTCTCACGAACGGAATTTTCCCTAGCTATTTAAAAAAATCTGTAATTCACCCGATATATAAATCTTGAGATAGAGACTATGTGAATAATTATAGGCCTATTTCTATACTTCCGTGTATCTCAAAAATATTAGAAAGCCTAATTAGTATCAGACTTATAAAATACCTAGAGAATTTTAATATTCTGTCAAATGTCAATTTGGCTTTAGATCCGGAAAGTCTACCAACGATGCAGTACACGAATTATCCATTATATTATCATAAAGCAATAAAACTGTTGGAGGTTTTCTGCATCTTGCGAAAGCATTTGACACGGTCTCTTTCCCCACACTGCTAATAAAACTTGGAGAAATCGGTATACGGGGCACACAACTAAAATTATTTGAAAGCTATCTAACTGGAAGACTTCAATGTGTTACAATAAATAATCAATGTAGTTCTGATGTGCCTGTCAGTTATGGAGTACCTCAGGGGAGTATCCTAGGCCCGATTCTATTCCTCGTCTACATAAATGACCTCCTGAAACTCAAATCCTTCCATGATAAAATCATATCATATGCTGATGATACAGCACTCCTATTCGCAGCAAGTACGTGTAAGGATGCCTTTGATAATGCTCAAACTGGGATTAACGCTGTCTCAGTATGGTTGCGTAGTAACTATTTATCTCTTAATATTAACAAATTTAAATTTATCGCCTTTTCCATGACCAATGACCCTCAGTCAACAATTAACTATAAGTTAACTGCTCACACCTGTTTAAATTTAACGAAACATTTAGGATTAACGTGCACCTGCTTACTTTTATCTATAGAACTTACTGTGTCAAGTATTTGGGTATTTTTTTATAGGATAAGGGTGACAAACGAGCACACAGTCAACCTGATGGTAAATGGTTGCTGCAGCCCATAGACATCAACATCTATCCTCTATTACAAATCAAAATGTAGATGCGTTGTCACCCGTGAGTAATAAGATAGAATGCCTCATTTCCAGTAAAAAGGGCCTCCGACCACCTGCACTCGCCAAGCGAAACGCAGAGGTAAACCGCTACTTCACGCTGGTTTTCTGTTAGGTCGTGGTACCACCCCGGTTCGAGCCGGCCCATCCGTGCGACAGCAAAAGCTGCCGCGTGGCTCTACCACTGTTAAATTTGATTACCAATTGAGCTTTACATTTAGATGTATTAACGTTTCGAGTTCGAAAACTAATTTAAGTCTTTAAAAATCTGAGACATGTAGCTAAACCTGAACTAGTGAAACAAATATTCACTGCTTTGTGTCAATCCATTATAACTTACGGTATAACAATATGGGGCGGAACTTCAAAAACTACATTAATTCCCCTACAAAGAGCTCAGAGAGCTGTTTTAAAGGTTTGTACTTTTCGATCTATTCTTTATCCGACTTATGAACTATATAAAAATGTGAAGTGTAACAGTCCGACAATTATTAATTTATCTTACAATTTCAAAACAACACATGGTAGTAAATTTTACCTCATCTCAATTAACAAAGAGAAGACCGGAAAAAGTGTGCCATACTGTTACCTTTAAACATTGCTATGCACATAAATATTTTTGTTTTCTTGGTCCATTCATGTATATTAAAATAAATAAGCAACTAAACTTATACACTTTGAAAATAAATATATGTAAAAAAAAACTCTATTGAAATGCCTTCAAAAACTAAATTATGATGAAAGTGAAGACTTATTAAAATCTCTAAATAATTGAATTCCTTTATATAATGTGTTATTAATAGACCATTAATTGATGTCTTCTGTCTATAATTATTACTATGATGAATACTACTCACCCTCTTCCTCGCATTGACACACACACACACACACACACACACACACACACACACACACACACAGGCACGCACGCACACGCGCACACACACACACACACACACACACACACACACACGAGAGATACAATTGACACTACATACTTAAAAACTAACAAATATTTAGGTTTAATTTCATACTTTTAAGCAATATAATAGCACTGTGTCTGAGATACAAGCTCAATGGTTAGTTCAGGAGCAGATGCAAAAGTATGTTTTTGAAAAAAAATCCTGAATAAAGAAATTATTATTATTATTATTATATTTTGTAAAGTAGTTTCATAAAGCTCCTTAGTTTTGGAAAAACATTTCCTGTGAAGTAGTCGATGTTTTTATCTTCAATAGTTTCCACAGTAATTTTGTGCTGCTATTCAAAGTAGATCCATTGATGTTCAAGTTATTGGATTCGACTAAGTAAGTACTCCTCAGTTTTTCTACTCGCTCCGTCCTATTTGTAGTTTGAAAAGAGACATTTAATGTTATTGATGCATTGTAGTTAAAGATCCAATATTTTTGTAATTTGTAATTATCCCGTGGTTCACGGCAATCAGTAATTTGAAGTAGGTTATCTCCTGGATTGTCCCGCAGTTAGCGGCGACAGGTGAGTTAGTATAGTTAGCTCCTACACTGGCTTGTACTTACACAGTCTTGGCGAGACGCACTGGTTAGTGCACGATCGAAAGGCAACAAATTTTTTCGCAGCTTCCTTGTATCCAATCTTTAATTTTTTATGAAACGTTTAAAAGAGTGATTCACGATAGTCCATCGCTTACTGATTCCTAACGTATTCATTATTTATTAAATAGTTTAACTAGAAAAGCTAAGTCCATTGCAGCTGGGTTTGTGCCAGCTGCCGAGAATTAAAAGTTGGTATCGAATGCTCTTATCTTTTTTTTTTTAAATTTAGAACATGTCATAGATAAATACGCTGCACTTAAAGCTGGTCTTAAAGATCTTAAGATCGAAGACTTAGCTGATTTCATTTTTATTTATATTGGCCTTAAATTATTAGATTCTGACACCGCAAAAAATTATGAAATCTATTCTATTCGCGATACAAATAAAATTCCGAATTATAATAATTTTATTCAATTTGTCCGAGAGCAAATAAAATTTTTACATTGCATCTCGCATAGTTCTGACTACCTTGTCCGCGTACCTCCTGGTCCCTTTGTACCACTTCTTCCAACGAATGTCAGGATCTTAGCAAGTTTTGGGAGATGGAAAAAGTAGAAGTCGCTCCTATCAATAGTGTCGACGATCAGTATTATGAGCAGTTTTATGCTTCTACAGTTCGCAGAAACACATTAGGCAGGTACCAAGAGGCCTCCACTCCTGGAGACTCATTTCATATCACAAGACGCCGTTTTTTAAGTTTCGAACGCAAATTCGCGTCTGACCCAAACATTAAGAGGTTATATGATAACGTCGTCAAGGAGTATCTTGAGAAATATTTTATATCGCCGGTCAGTAACATTGACTCCAATGAATTCGCGTCTTATATACCTCACCATCCTGTCATACGTGAGGATATAGTGACGACCAAACTACGTGTCGTTCTTTACCCTAGTGCTAAGACCGGTGGTGACGGACCTTCGCTTAATGATATTTTGTATTCAAGTCCGGCTTTTCAAGCTGATCTCTTTAATATTTTATTGAATATTTGCCTATTCCCTATCGCAATGATAGCAGATGTACGCGAAATATACCTGCGTATGGAAGTTCGCGAAGAGGATCGCCCTCTTCAACGCATTTTGTATAGGATTAATCCGCAGGAACCTATACAAGTATTTCAATTTAATCATGTGCCCTTTGGTCTTACAAGTAGCCCATTTCTAGCAATTCGCACCGTCCAGCAATTATGTATCGATGAAGGATACAGATTTCCGTTAGCAAATGTAATTCTGAGTCGAGACATTTACGTTGATGATATAGTAACTTCCCTCATATCGACAGAGGAAGCAGTCGATGCTGCTACGCAACTCATCCAGCTCTTTCATGCAGGAGATTTTGAACTTACTAAATGGGCAAGTAATAGTTCTATAGTCTTACAAACAAGCTGTTCCCGAGTGCTTGCGCCTATCGCAATGTGTAGAAATGGATAGCGAAGACTCGACCCTTAAAATTCTTGACCTTCGCTGGTTTCCATCAGGAGACTATTTCGCATTTTATGTCAATCCTGAAAATCGATCTTGCACAAAGAGAAATATTCTCTCGTCCATTGCCCGCTTTTAGACGTGTTAGGTTTAGTTGCTCCTATAATTTTATTCGCTGAGCTCCTCATAAAGGATCTGTGGCTTGCTAAGGTTAATTGGGACAGGCTCCCTCCTAAACGCATCATTCGCTTCTGGGAACAATTTAAGTCAGAGTTGCAATTGATACACTCTTCACTTTCCGCTACATTTGGGTATTATCTCAGATTGTCATGTTTCTATAATCGGATTCGCTGATGCTAGTGAGCGAGTCTTTGGTGGTGTCATATACCTCCGAGTACTGTTGCCAAACGGTGACTGTAAGTTCAAAATAGTATGCGCAAAGTCTAAGATCGCACCTCGAAAGGTCGTCTCGCAAGTGCGATTAGAATTAAGCGCAGCTCTACTTTTATCGAAACTTATAAGACGTATCTTTCAAACTTATAAGCTGAGATATGCTATAGAGTCTAGAGTAGCCTTCTCAGCTACTTCACCTTCGCATTTTTTAAATACATTGCCGCTTAAATATTAACCCGCTCCAGACACATCAAAAAAACTTGTTTGCCCTCCCGTTATGAATTTTTGGACAATTTGGCCTAGTCATTATGGAAGAGGTAGCGCAATGAATACTTGCACACCCTACAGCAAAGGCAAAAATGGAATACGCCAGCCAATCCCGTCAAAGAAGGAATGGTTGTCGTTTGTCTACAGGATAATGTTACGCCCTTACATTGGCCGTTAGGTGTCATTGTACAACTACACCCTGGAAAGGATGGCATCACACGCGTTGCCTCCGTCAAAACTAAGCAAGGTGTATTTCAACGGCCAGTTGTAAAGCTGTGTCCGCTACCTACGCAATAGCCTTAATTAGTAGTAAGATTTAAATAAAACTAATTTTACGGATTTTATTGCGCATATTAACTTTTTTTATATTCCCGACGTTTCGAGCACTTTCCAGCACCCATGGTCACGGAGGGGACTGAGGTGTATGACGTCCCAATGTCATAGTAACCACAACTACCTCCAGATTAAAAATTATTAATTTTTGTTCCGATCTACGCAGTATGAACTTACATTATCATGAAGTCTTGCAGTTGTATGCTTGGGTTGGGATTTAATTTTATTAATTATGGGATCCCAAGCAGATGGTAGCACCCAGCTATCTTCTCTATTGAAATGAAGGGATGTTTTTTGATTTCACTAGCTTCGCGAATCATCCTTGGAAGGAATTGGTGTTCTTTAGCGAGAATTTGTGGTCTATCAAATCTAATGTAGTGACGGGGGCGATCCTGTACGTGTGTTCACAGACTGTAGACTTCCCAGAGCGTCGATTCTTCACATCAGTTATGTGTTCTTTCTATATATAAGAGAGACCACATTCATAATTAAGCTTGTACACACACACATATCTCTCACAGCTGCTAATTTGTCACTCTGTTTTCTTGCTTCTCGGTCAGAAGGTTTATCAAAACGCAAAATTGCAGAATTTATTTTAAACGTTTCAGGGACATTGTTGCCCGAAATATAGGTCTTCCATAAGCTTCGAACTATAAGATTTCTAAACTTTCATCGTTAGAGTTGAAAACTCCAGCAAAAATAAGAGTACCTAGATATGCATCTAACTCCGTTTCATCTAACGCTTCCCATCCATTTCCGAAACGTGAAGAATCTTCTATATTTATTTGTTTCAAAATTATAGATTTTATACGCTTATTCAGAAATAAATCAAAAGAACTTCTAAATGTATTTATGCGATTAGAAGCATACCTGGTAATGCCTGGTGTAAGTTTTATTAGGTTTGCACTACTCAAACGACCTCTGACTTCTAATGGGGTTCTTGGCCATACAAATTCACCATTTTTGATAGCATTTGGTTTTCATTAGCACTAGTATTGGTAACGTATCTTGAAAGAGGCTTCTCATCGCTATTTGTTTCGTCACTACTGCTTTCACTGTATAAGCAAAAAAAAATATTGTCGGTAGGATTTTCTTCCAAACTATTCTCCGTTTCACTAATTATTTCATCTTCGGAATTTATATCGTAGTTTACGATTTGCGAAATCGCAGAACCAGTCAAATTGTGAGCCATTTTGAACACCAACGAAACACATCAAGTCCAAACAACGAATGAATCAAATAAAAGTAACTGTCACACGTAAATAATGTACTTAAATTGCGACGAACCTCGACAGTCTTTTTAAAAACATAATTTAAAGTATAAAATGATTTGATGTTCTTTCGAAGGTGGTTAGTTACAGAATGAATCCATATTAAATGTTAATAAAATAAGTCTAGTACAATTATCATATCGTCTTACATTACTTTAGAATTATCACTCGAGTTCTCACGCATGTGCTGATGTGGCTGTTTGGAATATCGAGCCAGGGACGAATTGAGGCGATATAACTCCTCCCTCCACAAGTTCGGGATTATCACGAATTTTACAGGTTTTACAGATTTCAATTAATTTATGTTTAAAAATAATACTTAAAATAATTAATATAATAACTAAAATAATAATATTGACTAAACTAATACTTTTATTAGTAATTTTTCGGCTTCACATTTCAGCTTCGAGATTCACAGGCTTCTTCAGAGTACTTGACGGGTTGAGTATTATCTTTGGTAAGTTTATTAATGGCTGTCTTAGGTAGGTTATTTCTTTACCTTGAGTCTTTTCAGTTCGTATCCTTTGATTTTCACCTTGCAGTTATCATCCACAGTTAAGAGGTAGGTTCCTAGTAGAATCTCTTGGCTTACTTCATTGTCGCAGAATTTAGTCATAGCTCTTTCAGTATTTGAGTAAACTATCCAGCGATTTGGTTGTATGAGGTAGATCTTCACATTTTCTAGGGTGACAGGGATCGGGTGACAACTTGAGATATTTTTGTGAAACTGCATGATTTCTACGACACAGTTGTCATTGGTGAAGATGTAACGAACCCCCCCCCCCATCTTTTTTCTTTTCTCCTATATATCCACTTATACTTGTATTTCTTTAGAATCTATATCTGTAAGATATATAAATATATCTAATTTACGTGACCAATATAACTTGATCTTTCTAAAGGTTTAAATATAGGCCGTTTAATAAATTTATGGCGTGATCGTCTTAGTTAGGACCCTTTTTTTCGTTGTGTATGTATAGTAACTTAGTTCTTTTAGGTGTATCTTGGAAGAATGAATATTCACGAGAGCAATCGAAAGCTGTTGGTAGAGTCTTATAAGCTAAAGAACCCCGTTCACGAAGACAGAGCTCAAAAAGGTTAAGAACAATAAATTGTCCCTATTCCACTTATATCTGGTTCACAACAGTCAATTCCTTATTAATTAATCCCTTCCCGCTTGGAAAAGGCTCACAATATTTATATCAAATACCAGTTACAAGAGCTTCGCTCTCCCACATTTTAAAAAAAATGTGGAGGAGGTACACGGCCCCACACACGCCGCGCACGGTGAGCGCCAACCATTTTAATGCGCTCCCCCCGAAGGGTACGCAAAGTTGGGAACTGGACCGTAGTCCACAGCAAAATAACTGGCGAACCAATAAAAGAGGACTTGGCCCCCTGATAGTGTGTAAGCACAAACATCGACCGAAGTCGCGCATGTCAATGCGTGTAAACGCCATACAGAATACGATCAAATCCAGCCACAGTGAAATGTACGTCACACGGGTTAGGCAACAATCGGCACACTGACCATAAAAAGCCCTCCGTGAGCCCACCTGCCAGACCGCCGTTTCTGCAGACATGATGTAAGTGTAAGGCATCACCACCAATTGCATGGTCAGCACGGCCAATTGGCCGCAGAGTGTGTCATGAGTCTACCGCTCACCTCAAGGGAATGGGGTCCCACGTTGCGCGGCTTTCGGCCGCAGCCTTGAGAGCCTCCTCAGATTCTCCCTCCAGCTACCACCCGCATGAGGAAAATGAATACCGGAAATTCATTACAACAAGAAAATGTGACAGTTAGAAGACCGGCTAAGTGTAACTCGGAAAATGACTTGACGAGACTAGAGATCGATATGACATCATCGTCGTCAATGTTATTTGACAATACCATGGACAGTTTACCGAATTTATCTACAATTGAGAACCCTAAAGTGGTTGAGTTAAAAATAAATAATGATAATTTAGCCTTAAAACTACAGTCAGCACATAACGAAATTGAAAACCTACTTACCGAAAATTTTAAACTTAAACGTGAGTTGGAAAATTGTCAAATGGTAATTAAAACACTAAAACAATTAAATTCAACTCAAAATAACGAAGCACGATCTACAAACTCGACACCAAGAAGAAAGGGAACTAAACAAAATAAACTTAAACCACTACAAGATATCCTGTCACCATTGCTTATTAATATAAAATCTACAAATCAAGATTCTACGCCTGATAGTAGTATAGATACAGGTACTAATAATATATTAACTAAAGACAGTAAAACTGAAACTGCAACAGACACTTATACACACTCTGACAGTAATATGCACAAAAAAGACAACAGTAATATGCGAATCAGTAAAGGAAATAATAGTTTTAGCAACAAATCTGAAACAGCGTTAAATGTTCAACAGCAAGATGCTGTAAATAAAGTTATAGACAAGGATAGCATATTTACTAATATTACTAATAAACGGTCAATATTAGGGGATCGTATAACTGCAAAAAAGAAAATCATAATTATTGCTGATCAGTATGGGAAAAATGTCAGACAGTCATTGGGAAAACTTCTGGGTCCCGAATATCAAGTTTACTGCTTTATTAAGCCTGGTGCCGAGTCAAGCGAAGTGTTAAGTGTTTGGAAACAGGAAATATCTTCATTAACTTTAAATGATTGTGTGGTTGTACTCACAGGATCTAATGATCGTAATCCTTTTAAATTAAAATGTAACTTGATGAATTGGGTCACCTCATGCCAAAATACAAATGTAATAATATCGGAGGTTCCACAAAACAATTACCTAAACTTATTTAAGCTTAATTACGAACTAAAGTTCTTATGTAGCAACTTTAAGCGAACGGTGTTTTTGGATATGGACTATTGCAAATCTATTCCGCGAAGAAATCTGTTTGCTTTGAACTTATCGAGGTCATTACTGAAAGAAATTTTAAGTATTGGTTACAGACAAAATTATTTAAATTATATAAAGAACGCTGCTTGTGTAACAGGAAACTCAAAAATGTATTCAAAATGTGATAAAGCATGTCAAACAGAAATTTGTAACATAGCGATGGAAGGATCAGTGGTAAATGAACCCGATGATTCTTCAAAGTTTTTTCGTAGTCCAAAATAATCTGTATCTCTTGCATCAAAACATAAACGGAATTATTAACAAATCCGACTTACTTGCTGTGTGTTTATCGGAATTAAAAGATGAAAATAAAATGATTGGGATTATTTGTATAACCGAGCACAATATGGTTGAAGATGATATTAAACATCTATGTATACCAAATTTCAAATTAGCCTCAAGTTATTTGCGAAGAAATAGAAACGGTGGAGCTTGTATTTTAGTAGATTGTAATATTAAGTATAACACAATTTACGAAATTCAAGCTCTTTCCATTAGTAATGAAGTTGAATGTTGTGCAATTGAGCTTGTTGAATTTGGAATAATTATAATATGTATGTACAGAGTGCCTAAAAATGCTGCTAGGGATATTGATACATTTTTAAATATATTGCAAAATATCTTACACAAGTACTGTTTTAAATCAAAAAAAATTGTTATTGTTGGTGATTTCAATGTTGACATGTTAAAGCCAAATATTTTGACAAATAGCATAACACAAATTTTGAGTAGTTACAATTTAAAAATTGAATTTAACGAACCAACAAGGTTATGTAGTGGTACCTGC